ATATTATAAAAGCAGGAAAAATGAAAGTGAGTAAAGAAAAATTAATCCAACTTAACTTGTTCTTGTATACATCCTCATTTGTATTTGTAAAGTAGTAAAAACGAATGAATAAAACTACAAATATATATATATATATTATATACAACGCCTCCCTCTGAGAGTCAATCCTAATCATTGACACTATTAAGATTGTATATGTATATGTATATGCCTTTATTTTGCTTATGGAGCCTGTAACAAAAATAATTTCCCTCTGGGATTATTAAAGTATTTCTGATTCTGATTCTGATATAAATATACATCCCCCCCCCCCAGGCCTCCCAGGCCTCCGGGTACTTCGGCTCCTCGGTGGTGAGGCCTGGGGGGGGCAGCGGCTTCTTCTCCTTCCACCAGTATCCAACCGTCCTCTGCCAGCCCGCCATGAACCCCCACCTGGTGAGGCCCCGCCCCTCTGACCTCTGACCTCTGACCCTGACCCGCCTCTAACTAACCTTTGACCTCTTACCAGACTCTGACCAACCTCTGTCCTAACTCTAACTAAACCTCTGACTCTAACCAGCCTCTGACCTTTGACCTCTTACCAGACTCTGACTATAACCAGCCTCTGACCTTTGACCTCTTACCAGACTCTGACTATAACCAGCCTCTGACCTTTGACCTCTTACCAGCCTCTGACTGACCTTTGACCTTTTACTAGCCTCTGACCTTTGACCTCTTACCAGACTCTGACCTTTGACCTCTGACCTCTTACCAGCCTCTAACTCTGACCTTTGACATCTTACCAGCCTCTGACTGACCTCTGACCTTTGACCTCTTACCAGCCTCTGACTGACCTTTGACCTCTTACCAGACTCTGACTCTGACCTCTGACCTCTTACCAGCCTCTAACTCTGACCTTTGACCTCTTACCAGCCTCTGACTCTGACCTTTGACCTCTTACCAGACTCTGACTCTGACCTTTGACCTCTTACAGACTCTGACTCTGACCCCTGACCTCTGACCTCTGACCCTCTCTTCTCTCTCAGTTCCACCTGGACTCCTTCGAGCCCAGAACCCGCCTGAAGGAGCCCCCGAAGCCCAAGGCAAGAACCAGCTCACAGCTCAGAGTTTGATTGGCTCACACAGGGCAGGAAAGCAGGGCTCTGATTGGATGATGGCGTCCAATCAGAGCCCTGTTTTTGGCCGCTTTGTTTGTTTGTTTGTTTGTTTTTTATCTGTTTTGTGTTTCTAGACGGCAACAGAAAAAAGTCACGGCTTCAAAAAGAGGGAGCTGGAACACCCCAAACCCAAGGTGAGCCCAGTCCAAGCACCTGAACGCATCATGTGCACCCCAACACATTGTTTACACCTAAATTCATAATTTAAACTGAACGCCTTGTGTGCCCATGAACGCATAATGTGCACCTGAATGCATCGTTTAAACTGAACCTGCCAAAGCACCTAAATTTATTGTGCTCAAGAACACCTCGTTTGCACCCGAACGCATCTTGTGCACCTGAATGCATCGAACACACATGAACACATTGTTTAAACTGAATGTGCCAAAGCACCTGAACGCATTGTCTACACCTGAACGCATCATTTAGACTGATAGCACCAAAGCACCTGAACTCATCATGGCACCTGATCGTTTGAACTAAATGCGCCAAAACACCTGAACGTATCGTTTACACTTGAACGCATAATTTGCACCTGAACGCATCATTTAAACTGATGGCACCAAAGCACCTGAACACATCATTTACACCTGAACGCATCATTTACACCTGAACGCATCATTTAAACTGAATGCAACAAATGACATGAACGCATCATTTACACCTGAACTTATCCTATGCCCCTGAACGCACCGTTTACACCTGAACGCATCGCTTACACCCAAACACATTGTTTGCACATGAACGCATCGTGCGTGCTGAACGCATAATTTACACCTGAACGCATCATTTACACCCGAACTAAACATTTAAACTGATGGCACCAAAGCACCTAAACGCATCATTTACACCTGAACACACTCAGTGTCCCTGAACGCACCGTGTGGATGGTTTTTCTCCCTGAGTTGGTGACCCTTGTCCCTCCTTCTGCCTCCAGGCGGCCGCAGCCAGAGACCCGACCTCTCCAGAAGCAGTGAGTCTACCCCCCCCCC